GAGCCTGGTTCTGCTGGAGGTTTCTTCCTGTTCAAAGGGAGTTTTTCCTCTCCACTGTCGCTACAAGCATGCTTAGTGTTTTAAATCATGTGTTGTGAATTGGCGCTATAGACATAAACTGAATAGAACTGAATTCAGTTTAGCTAAATGTTTTCATTTTTTTAAACCCAGGGATGCCACCAATCCTGCGCAGATTTTCATTAAACCAGATGTAACATTTGGAAAGAACGCTTTGATTGGATGAAGAAAAGCAGAGCGTGATTGGCTGATGGCTCGGTTCATTTGCATTTATGAAGTCTCGAGCGTAGAGGTGGAGTCAAGCGATGGGAGAAACAGCTGAGCACACGGCTGGTGCTGAGCGCTCGCAGAGATGGAGCCCAGCGGTGGGACAGTGGGTGGAGCTTAATGTTTAAACGCTGCATACCTGAGCGTGTCTCACTGCACGCTCAAACCGACGGATCAATCGTTACGCCATATTGGTGCCATCACTGCAGCTGACAGGGGAACCTCCACCCAACGCTGGAGTCCTTTCAGTCCTCCATCCACCCTTTGTTCCCGCTGAACAACGCCTCCCCACAGCATAATGCTGCCAGCGCTATGTTCCATCATGATAATGCTGCTTGGTGTTAGTTTGTGAGGATGACTCCCAGTAGATAACCTTGAACTTTACGTGTTTAAAATCCGCCCTCGGTCCTGATTCTGCCTCTTTCACCGTCACCAAACGCCGCTGGGCTTATTTAGATTCAACCTTTGTGCTTCACAGCTGCATGACGGAGCTGATTGGCTCAAACAAAAGCAGAAAAGAAACATCGTTTCCAGGTGCTCTTATTTAATGTGTTGGGATTAATGGGAGCGGCGCCGCTTTGGAAAACATTATTAAAAAGGCTTTTTTCCTCCACTATGAAAGGGATCTGGAGGTGAAGTTATTATCAGCTCTCCGTTGTGTCGCCTTTTCATCCCGGGCCAAACTTCCTGCTGCTCGGCACGCTGAGCACAAACATCCTGCTTGGAGAGATATGGCATTTAGTCCCGATGGCTTGTAATGGATGCATTAACACACCATCACTCTCTCACACCGAACTAATGATGCACAATTTTGTGGTTGCCAGGAAACGGATTCAGGAGTTTACACCTGCCTGGCTTCCAGCTCCAGCGGAGAGACGAGTTGGAGTGGAGTGCTCACAGTCAAAGGTAAATTGTCTCTGTGTGATTTAATTACATGCAAATGAGGGCTCCCCAGAGGCGGTTTGCAAACAGAAATACCGTCGACGCTGGAATGTTGATAAAAGTGCAGCTTGAAGTGAGCAGATTTAGTTCAGGCTGCAGATTTAATGCAGACCGAACAGATTCAAGTTCTGCTAATGCATCTCTAAAAGGTAGGAAGAGCTAAAAACTGTTCTTGATACGAACAGAGGAAGATTTGCGGTTGTTTAGTTGGTCGCTCTGCAGACACGTCATAAAAACCTGAGCTGAGGCGTTCAGGGTCCGTTCCTTCCCGTTCTGTAGGGTGTGACAGCGACGGGGATTACTCAGACCATCCACTCAGGCTTGGCCCCCCTGTCAGTCACACTGGCCAATTTATTGACCCCATTGAATAAAAGTTCCTCCCATCCTGTTTCTTGGGAGCTTCTTTGCAAAACATTGAAACTTTTCTGACCCAGGTCCACCGCAGCATCAGTAACAGTAAATAACCGGATGGATCACAGGTAGAAACACCTTTTTGAATCTGTTCCATGAACGGTGACCATCAGCTTTACAGGAAATGCTGACGGCGGTTGCTGCAGTTTTCTCTTTGCAGTCATAGCAAAGAAAACCAGTAAACATCTGACTGCTTTCATAACTCGGCTCTACCTCAGAGACACGAATCATCCTTCATTGTTCTGATTGTCTCTCTGGGTAAAATGTGTCTCTTTTTATCTCTTAGCTCCTTTTGTCCTAAATGAAACTGGAATATATGAATTCTTTATTCAACCTGCTGAGATTCAAGCCTCTTTTTCTAAAGTGAACTGAAAGCTGCAGCATAAAACAGACAGAAAATCCAAAAACCGTCACATAAAGCACATAATCAAGCAGCTGCTCATCATTAAACATTAGGATCTAATGTCTGTTCTTTATCATTTATTAGAATAGCACTCTATAAATCCTCTGTCTTTATTAGTACAGAACATTTAGCTCAGATCTTTGGGACCCTGAAAGCACGCAGACCATAACAGGTTTTAGGTTCTGCTTTCGGTACATTTGGACAGAAACTTTTTACCAATCTGCCTGAATGATCAGAGTTTTTGTGCCTTGAACTATTTTAATTCAATTCAGTGTTTGTAGCACCTGACAGCTCAGATTTCAGCCCCTGGATCAGTAAACCAGCCAGGAAGCAGAAATTGCATTTAAGAACCAGCTACAGTTAAGCCAGATGGATTAAATGATGTCAGAAGCAGATGTAGAGGGCTAACTAACCAGGGAAGTGAAGAAGATGAGCAAAAAATCTCACCAGCAAAAAATCTCACCAGCATGCAGGTGAGATTCCACTTCAGGCAAATGATCCCTCAGGTTGTTCACATAGATTATGAACAGCAAAGGTCCTTTTATGGACAGAGAGGAGGAGCGAGATCCAGCAGCCTGGACTCAGAGTTCTACCACAGACTTAGACTTAGATGGAGAACCGGTTCAGCCCCTGAACAGATAACCAGACCTTGTAGAGTCGATCCATCGAGACGACATGATCTCCAGTAACAGACGCTTTAGTTAAGCCAACAAAAAGAGCTGCAACTATCTGAAGAATCTGTGATGTCAAACCTGTACGTACTGGCTTTATTTAACAACTAATTTAATCAATTAAATAATCCCTCTGCTCTAAATATGTAAAAACTCAGTATTCTGGTGCTTTCTTCTGATTGTGGATTAAACAAGATTAAAAAGTTAAATGGATCCTGATAGAAATGAGTTTAACCATCTTTATTGAACTGATCAGCTGCTTTAAAACAGAAACAGTGAGTTGAAACTGACATAATTAAATAAAATCATTCCCATTCCACGCAGTCTATCAATAACTATTACAATTACTAGTACTAACTGTTAATAACCATCTAATAACCAATAATAACTGCATATAATTGTTAATTACGGTTAATAACTGTTACTAACTGTTAGGAATTTCTAATAACTGCTAAGAAATGTTAATTGTTGCTATTAACTACTAATAACGGCCAATAACTGTTAATAGATGCTAATTGCTGTTACTAGCTGTTAATATTTGCTAATTGCTGTTGCTACCTGTTGCTAATAACTGCTAATAACAGCTGATGACCACTTAGTAATGCTAATAGCTGAGAAAGGTAATGGTCATTATAATGGCTCCATAATCCTGCGTGATCTTGTCCTTCGCCATCCAGAGAGCGCCGACCCGATGGTCACTCAGGCCACGGAGCCCTTCCAGCTGCCGGGGCCCCCCCACAAACCCATCGTCACAGATGTGTCCAAGAACAGCGTCTCTCTGACCTGGCAACCCAACGCTCATGAGGGCGGAGCCGCTGTCACCTCCTACATCATCGAGGCCTTCAGGTGAGTGTCGGTAAAACGCTGATGTTTAACGTCGGCGCCTGAACGGATCATCCCAGATGATGATGGAGGAATCATTTGGCTGAACCACAATGATCAGATGGTTCTGGGTTTATTTTGAAAAACTCGCAGACGGTCATAGAAACGGGAGCAGTTGTTTAGAAAGTGAACGTTTAGTTTATCTGCTTAGATCCCCACTCAGCTGGGCTGTTTCTAAAGGAGGCGGACCCTTTCTCCCATCAGCCAATCAGCAGGCAGCACGTGGCAGACTGTGGCAGACACGGTGAAGATGGAAACGCACACCATCACAGGCCTGCTGCCCAACACCGTCTACCTGTTCATCGTCCGAGCCGTCAACGCCTACGGCCTGAGCGACCCCAGCCCCATCTCCGAGCCCGTCAGGACGCAGGACGTGAGTCCCACGGGGCAGGGGGTGGACCACCGGCAGGTGCAGAGGGAGCTGGGAGAGGTGGCTGTCCAGCTCCAAGACCCCGTCATGCTCACAACCACCTCCATGCGGGTGTCCTGGACGGTAAGTGACCCCCCCAGCTTTGGTAGCTTCTCTTGGCTCCTCTACGCCCTGCGCTGACCCGGCTTCGCCTCGTCTCCAGGTGGACCGCCAGTCTCCGTACGTCCAGGGCTACCGCCTGTTCTACCGCCCCAGCGGGGGAACCTGGCTCCTTCAGGACATCAACTCTCCCTCGGAGCGCAGCACCGTCCTCAGCGGCCTGCTGAAAGGAACAGAGTACGAGATGAAGATCCGTCCGTACTTCGACGAGTTCCAGGGAAAGGACAGCCGGACGCTGCTGATCCGAACGCGAGAAGAAGGTAAGCTGCGGTTCTGAGGGAGGCTGCTTTCTACCTCCAGCTGTTATTTCCTCTTCCTCCCAAACGCTGACGGAGGTTTTTATTAGTTCTAAATCTCACCGCGCTGCTCCTGATGTCTCCTAATGTGGATCAAAGACTTCTGTTTCCTCTCCCCACAGTCCCCAGCGCCCCCCCTAGAGGAGTCACAGTGGCAACCGCGAAGCTCGGCAACAGCTCCAGCATCAGCGTCAGCTGGGAGCCTCCGCCCAGCGACACGCGGAACGGCATCATCCAGGAGTACAGGGTAAACCCCCCCCCATCGCTGGGACCGCTCTGATCTCACAGACACGGAGCAGATCAGCCAATCACAGGCTTTTCTCTGCAGGTGTGGTGTGTGGGCAGCGGCGCCGATAACCAGACGCGCTACTACATCAACAGGACGGTGGACGGAAGCACGCTGTCCACGGTGCTGAAAGGCCTCCTCCCCGCCGTGCTCTACCAGGTGGAGGTGGCGGCAGTGACCGGCGCCGGCGTCGGAGCCCGCAGTTCGCCGGTGTCTGTCCTCCTCAGTGAGTTTCCTGTGGCGGGGGCTTCTGTGGGTTCTGTTGCACGGATGAATTATGCATCAAACTAAAGCCTTAAATGGTATTAAAATGTCTTTAATCAGTCTTAAAATTATTACCACGTCACAAATAAGATGTTATATTTGTAATCTACATCAAAAATTTAAATAATTAGCGCTTTCTTGCTAACAAAAGATCTACATTTAACGTACGGCTTGCTGTGAGCGTAACAATGTTGCGGCCTTAGCTTGGGGTGATGCACCGCTAACTTTTTATCTGGACTTTTCTGCGCAGCTGAAACCAGAAGCAGGGAATGTAGATGAGGAATGATCGGAGTAGATCTGTTATTTGCGTGTTTTTAGTTTCAGTTCTATGGCAGGGGTCGGCAACCTGCGGCTCTTTAGCGCCCCCTTTGAGGCTCCCTGGAGCTTTTTCAAAAATTTGTGAAAATCAAGTTTGTTTGTCTGTTTGTTTTAATATGGTGTGCAGAACCTCAAACAAACATTCATTGTTTTCAAATGACGTAAACATCTGTATGATAAATAAATTAAACAATAAATGTAAACATTATTTTCAATGAAAATTAGCATCATAGCCATAGAGATCAGTGGTCACAGCCTGCAGCAGGTTTCGGCGCGGTGTGGCGCGGCGCCAGGCAGGTGGCTGCTGTAAACAAAGTGTCTCAGGCTGTGGATCCCAGAGGGAAAAAAGGAAGATAGCTGATGAGAACAGAGGATTCAAAGAAGAATGGAGGAAATCGTTTGCTTTCATTACCAATGAGGAAGGATTGCCTGCATGTTTGCTTTGCAGTGAGAAGCTGTCAAATAATAAAAAGAATCATTAGGAAAGGCATTTCCAGGGAAGGCTGCTAAATATGCAGCCCAACACCAAGCTGGGAGAGAAAAACTGCAGAACTTCTAGATTAATTAGAGGAGAGCAAAGATAGATTTAAGAAGTAGATTGCATCTGCAAACTCCACTACTGCTGCTAGTTTGGTTGCAAGCATAGAAAACCATTTATAGATCCAACAGGTAGTGCTCTGATGCAGGGATGGGAACTTTCTAACATTTTTCCCCAAATCTTAAAAATCTAAATCACACCAAGGAGCGCTGGTGACGGAGGATGTGGGATTCAGGGTCAGAGAGCTCTGCTCTGATGATGTCACTTCCTGCTTGGCTCCTCAATCAGCTCCTCCCAACAGAAACACGTCCACCATAGAAAGATTCCTTTATCCTGTTTCTATCATTTCATGCTACTATGTGACATTAGCTCCAGGATAAACATTTAACCATGAATGATTATTATATATGTAAGCCAACATGGCCCTTTCCTATCCTGGGCTAATACACTTAGGGCCTGTGTTGCCAAATGAGGCTTTTTGGGTCCAATATGGCTCTTTGAGCAGTTTGGTTTGCCGACCCTGATCTATGGAGAGTTATTCAGAATGCAAAACACCTCTACTGGATCAGAAAGCAATGCTTTATGTTTAAATAAACATTAGGGTACATTTGTCGCAGCCAGGTGTTTCTATTGTGAAGTTGGTCTTAATTTTTTTAATTAAAAAGTAATAAAAATCTTTAATTTAACTTGCCTCATGCTGTAGGATCCCTGGGTGGTCTCTGCCGTTTATTGGAGGGCCCACTGAGAGCCAAACAAAAACATTTCCTACGATTTGAGGGTCTAGTCGATGAGGAGTTCTGGTCCAAAACCTCCAAGTTCAGACTCAGATTTTAGGTCCATCAGTTGCTCCTTTCTCAATCAGAGCGACGGTTTCAGCTGCTCCTCTGATGTTTAGTGTTTAGAAAAGCCCCGTTTATTTAAAGCTCTGCTTCATAGACTCTGCTGCTCCCACAGAGCTGCCGGCTGAACAGCCAACGGCGCCCGGCGGCGGCGGCGGCGAAGAGGGCAGCGTGAGTCTGGCCGAGCAGATCACTGACGTGGTGAAGCAGCCGGCGTTCATCGCGGGCATCGGCGGCGCCTGCTGGGTCATCCTGATGGGCTTCAGCCTGTGGATCTACTGCCGCCGCAAGAAGAGGAAGGAGCTGAGCCACTACACCGCCTCCTTCGCCTACACACCAGCAGGTCAGTGTGGAGGAGTCCGGGCCGCTCGTCCCGCTCCATGTCTGCCGTCTGAGCCGACGCTTTATGAATGAATGACCCGTGGAGGAGGAGCTTAATCGGGAGCGTTGGCCCGCTTAGAGCAGCACGCTGTGCTCTGAGAGGGTTGCCAGTACCCAGTTTGATCCCCACAGTCTGCCACTCTGGGTCCCTGAGCAAGACCCTTAACCTAACACTGCTCCCCGGGCGCCGCTCAATGGCAGCCCACTGCTGCCCATGAGGATGGGTTAATTTCAGAGAGGGAAATTCCCCATAGTGGGACGATAAAGGGATTTACATAAATAAGATGATTTTCCATTTGAACGAGTAATTTGCTCTTGAAATAAGACGCTCCAGTTGTTTTGTTCTTATTTTAAGTATAAATTGTCTTGTTCCATTGCAAAGTGTCTCATTCACCTTGGTTTGAGAAAAAATCCACTTATTTTAAGAAGAAATGACTTATTTAGAATACATTTTTTTCCAGTTAGGGAGATTTTCATCGACTTTACTGCAAAAACGATCGCGAAATAAGTAAAAATTTCTTAAATCGATGTTTACCTTTAATTTTAGTAGGTAAATAAGATGATTTGCCTTAGAAATTAGTATTTTTATCTATTTTACTTAAATAAAATAGATAAAATTTGTAATAAGACAATCCAGCTGCTTTTCCTTATTTTTAATGTCAGTTGTCTTCTTCCTTTAGCAAAGTGTCTCATTGAACTCGTCCATTTAAGACTGAACTGAACTCATTCAGGGTTCATTTTTTGCTGTTGTTAATGATCTGGGTTTTTTACGTCTTTCTGCCGGACTGAGCTTCTGTTCAGGTGATGATGTCATCATGTTTTTCTCTCTGTCTTCCTGCAGTTGGTTTCCCTCATGCGGAGGCCTCGGCGCTCAGTGGGAGGTAACTCACTCTTTCTCCCCCTTTAGATTTAATCGACCCTTTCTTCCTGTGCGGTTAGACTCACTCTGTTGTTTCTGTGCAGGCCGGGGGTGCTGGGGGGGAACTACCCGTGGCTGGCAGACTCCTGGCCCACCACCAACCTGGTCCACAGCAGCAAGGAGGCCGTGAACTGTTGCCCCAGCAACCACGACAGCACTGAGCGATACTACAACGGTAGGAAGACAGCGAGCCGATGCCTGCAGCGGGTCTGAGTCCTAACTAACTAACTAACTAACTAACTAACTAACCCGCCCCCCTCCCTGCAGAAGCCGGCATCTCCAACTACCTGAACCAGACGGAGAAGTACAGCCTGGGAGGCTCCACCGACGGTCCCATCTACAGCACCATTGACGCCACCAGCGAGGACCTGCACAGCTTCGCCACCGCCCCCTACGCCACCGCCGCCATCATGCCCTTCTCCGCTCAGACGCAGGGAGCAGCTTTCAGTGGGGAGCAGCAGGACGAGGGCCGCTGGATCCCCCAGCAGGGCCCCTCTGGGGCCCAGTACGCCCAGCCGGACCGCTGCAGCGGTGAGACGGGAGGGGGCGCCGCTCTGTCCCCCAGAGAGAAACGGGTCACCTTAGAAAGTTTAACGAGAGCAGGAAGTGACCTCAGAAGAAGATGGAAAACAGCTGAGGCTCCGTTAGCTTTGATAGACAGCTAACGACCACCACAGCTTTTAATTTAGGCCTGGACTTTGACTAGACCGTTCTACCATGAAGTCCAGGGTGTCCTCTTCCCCGCAGCATGATGCTGCCACTGATATGCTTCTGCGTGAGGATGATGTGTTCAGGGGATGGAGGAAATCTTAGCGTCGCCTCTATCAGGCCGATAGGTCAGGTTTTCGGGTTTGGGATCTCTGCACCTCCTCCAGAGCCACGGTTGGTCCACCTTCTCTGAGCTAAACAGAACGACTAGCTGAGCTGCGGAGACGGACAGGAAGTCACTGCTGCTGGTCTGAATCTGCAGGTTAGCTCAGCTTCAGCAGGTTGGTTGGTTTTATCCAACCCTCCGTCCGCCGGCGCTGCATCGTAGCCTCAGACTGACGGATCCGTCTCACCGTGTTGGTTTGATGCTGATGACCAGAACGGGCTCTGTGGGTCTGCCTTGTAGTGAGAAAAAAGAATTCAACTATTCAGCCCAGTTAAATAAACAGAGATCAATGGATTTCACTCAGTCGGCGCTTCATTTTGATCTTTGCAAAGATTCTATTTCACGGTAATCAGCCCTGTTCTGATCTGGGCAGCGTTCGTTCCCCATTACTTACAATAATGGAAAATAGAGTCAAAACAAATTACAGACATTTTGGTTAAACCGTAAAATGTTATGAATAAACCTTGAGAAAGAATCTGGTTTGGTATAGAAAGAAGCTATGCTATAAAAACTTTTATAGTGAGTAATTAGCATAAATCAACATATGAAATAAGAGAAATCTAAATTTTCCGACGGCAGCCTCCATGCGTGGATCCTGGAGTGAAGCTGCGGCCTATGACTCAGGGAGATATATTGATGTTTGGTTGTTCTGTGCCTTGGTTTGAAGGTAAACCGAAGCAGAAGGCGATGGGGAAGGCTGTGAAGACCCCGTCTCTGACCTGGATGGAGGCGTTGCCCCCACCTCCACCCATCGTAGAGCTGGAGCAGTGCGAGCCAGACAGCCAGCTGCCGCAGGACGATGACATGGATGGCGGGTGAGGCAGACCTCAGACCTCCTCTCACAGTGATGCTCTCAGCCTCGGCCAATCACTGCCGTCCTTTAGCTTGGAGGTTAAAGACAAGCGGAGCAGAAGCTCCGCCCCCTGCTGCTTGGCCTGTGGCCCCACAGAACAGGTTGATCTGCTCTCTAACATCAGGCTGGTCTCTCCATGCAGCTCAGAGGAGGAGTGGTGCCCCCCCCTTCCTGAGAGGACCTACCTGATGGAAGGCTGTGAAGACCAGAGGAACATCACGTCTTCTCCTGCCACCTCCTACAGCCACCGCTCCACCGCCACCCTCACCCCCTCCCCCCAGGAGGAGGCGGGAGCCCCCGGTGACCAGCCGCCATCACGGTGGGTCCACAGGCTCATTCTCCGTAGGGAGACGCGTTTTTCTGTCCCTCCAATAAAACCAGAAACAGTTCAGTTGATCGCCGCGGTCCTGGCGCTGTCTGCAGGTTTAATGTCACAATCGAGGAGCAGAGCAGGAACCTTCTAGAACACAAGCTTCACTGCAAAAACGAGTAAAAGATTCATTAAATTAAGTGTATTTAGCCTTAATTTGTCTAGAAAAATTAGATGATCTTCCAATAGAATGAGTCTTTTTACCCTTAAAATAAGATAATTAGAGCACATGCACTTAGAATAAGAGGCTGCAGTTGCTTTTTTCTTTTATTTAATGTAAATTATCATGTTCCATTATCAGAGTGTTTCACTTACCTCCTCAATTCAAGAAAAAAATGCATTAATTTTAAGAAAAAATGACTTATTTAGATTTACATTTTTTGCAGTGTGTTTTGCTGAGTGGGAAAAAAAATGGATCCTTTAAACGTCGATGAAGACGAACTTTTGAACATTTCTCACATTTGATTGGTTCCAGTTTAAAGTATCAGAACAATTCATGTTTTAATTTAATCCAAAGTTTAAAATCATCAGAATTCCTTCGACCCGTTTCTATGTTGACCCTCTTGGCTCCTCTTCTTCACACTGCAAAAAATGTCACTTTCAATAAGTCATTTTTTCTTAAAATAAATGTATTTTTTCTTGAATTGAGGAGGAAAGTGAGACAATTTACATTTAAAATAAGAAATAAACAATTGCATTGTCTTATTTTAAGTTCATTTTATCTACTTATCTTATTTTTATCTTTTCCATTGGCAGGTTTTGTTATTTACCAGCTCAATTTAAGGGGAAATACACTTAATTTAAGAAACGTTTGCTTATTTGTAAATGGTTTTTGCAGTGCAGCAGCTTTTTGGACCAGAACCATGAGCAGCTGCTCTGCTGATAAGGACAGAACATCTAAATGCTGCAGATGGAGGACAACCCAACGACAGGCAGAACTTTGATCCGTTTGGAGCAGAGAAGCTTCCTCTGTTGGTCCCTCAGCGCTCATTCCTTTCAGATTAGATTTAGATTTTTATTCCAGAGCATCTCTGATCACATGTATCACGACCTTCATGGAGCGATTGTTCGAATCAGAGCCGGTTAGAACCGATAGAGGAGGAGTGGGATGCTGATGTAGCTCTGATTCCCCTTCCTTCCCTCAGCAGGCGCCCGCCCTGCGGCCCGGTGCCGGCGCCGCCGCTCGCCCAGTCCAGCCAGCAGAACCTCGGCCTCACAGACGCCGGCGCGCTGCAGGTCCAAAGCCCCGCCCACTGCTGCCTCCACAGCCAGGGGACGACGGGGAACGAGGAGAGAGCTTCGACGCCTGGTAAAGTCCAGCTCCTGGCGGCGCCGACACGCAGCGCGCCTCATTTCTGAGGGTTAACTGATGTCACGTTTCTGCCGCAGTGCACAGCCGCTCGTCTCCAGCAGAGACCTGCACTCCTCCCAACCAGAAGTCCAGAGTGAAGAAGAAGGTGACCAAGACGTCGGCGTACAGGAGGGAGCTGCAAGGAGGTAACACCCAGAGGGAGGGGGGGAGCGGGAAAGTTCACAGGAAGGAGGAAACCTCAGATGTTGGACGCCCTGTGATGTCAGCAGATGGTTTTCTAACTGAAAGGTTTGTCTCCTCTGTGGTTTAGACCTCCCCCCGCCCCCGGAGCCCCCCCCTGGGGAGCCCAGCAGCCTGCCGACCAGCAGCCGCTCCTCCCTGGAGAGGAGCGAATACAGCAGCCAGCGGAACCGATCGGGACCAAATCACGGCGACAGTAAGCAGCAGCCCCGCCCACTGGCCGCTCCAAGGTTTGGCTCCGTCTCATTCTGTTCTCTCCCTCCTCTTCCTCACCAGATGAAGAGGTGGCGGCCTACAGCAGTCGCAGCGGCTACCTGTCCAGGAGTAACTGCTCCACCACGGGAAGCTCCTCCTCCAGAGGCTCCAGCGGCTCCCGGGGCCTCGCCCCCCCCAGGAAACACAGCGAGGTAGGGAGCGTCACGCCGCACAGCGTCTCTCCCTCCTGTTGGAAAGAAAGAAAAAAACGGTTTGAAAATCAAATCTGTCTCGATGGAGGTGTTAAACTCAGATCCACCTTCTCCTCAGTCTGCTCTGCAATAACATAACAGGCGGCCATCTTGGGTCAGACCACAGACAGCTGCTGTCAGAATGAACAGTAGGCGCCTCAGATCTCATTTTACTCACATGAAAGACGAGTCAATGATAATATTACAATAATCTCTTTCATGTTACAACCAGTAAAAAAAAAAAAAAAGCTTTTTAAAATGAGCTTTCAGGTCGATTACACGGATTAATTCACATTAAAAAACTATTTAAACTGAACTCACTGGATGAGGTTTATGCAAAGTTATATATTTTGCAAATACAAATTAATATGATAAACACAAAGTTTTATACTTATATATTTTCACATTATATTTACAATATATAAATATATATATATATATATTTATTTATTTATGTATCTGTATTTTTCAGCATTTTGATGTAATATGATCTATAATTGAACTGTAATGGTCTCAGAAGGAGAAATTCCCTCTCTGCATTTAACCCATCTCCTTGGGGAGCGGTGGCTGCCATTGTGCGGCGCCCGGGGAGCAGAGTGGGGTTAAGGGTTCTGCTCATAGACCCAGAGTACAGGCTGTGGGGATATAACCAGATACTGGCAACCTTCTGAGAGCACAAGCTGATCTAAACGGGCCAACACTGCCACCATTCTGTTCTATAAACTAGTGTTAGCCTCAGTTGATGGGTATTGACTCTGACAGCAATTTGGTCCTTGACTTAAGATGGCGGCTCTATCAGCACGCCTCTTACCCCATGACGCGGGGTCTATCTGTGTCTATTTCTCTAACAATGACCCCCACCCCCCCATGGACCTGAAAGCACATTTCTCTGCAGCTATGAGATCAGGTTCCCTCTTCCTCAGGGAGCCTTTCTCCCTGTTCGCTCCTGACCTTTGACCCAGTCTGCTGATGGCTGAGCCCCCACACTGGTCACTGGAAGCAGTTTTTTATTGACTGGGAACCAATCCTGTTGGACATTTGAAGCCGTCATCAAAGTCAGGCTGGTTAAGTCTCAGTCCTCCGTTGTCATGGAAACAACCCTGAACACAACTGAAAGGCAACTTTATAAATTATTTCAACTGACTATACGGAATACAGACAATAAAGGAAACAAACCGTCACCCATCCATCAGAGTCAAAGAGGCTGGTTCTGGTTCTGCTGGAGGTTTCTTCCTGTTTTTCCTCTCCACTGTCGCTACAAGCGTGCTTAGTGTGAGGGATTGCTGAAGAGTCAATGAGTCGATGCAATCAACTGGTTTTCCTTAGATAGAAAACTTTGAATCAATCTGGATGATCTGGTGAAAGTGACCTGAGATGACATGATGTGAATTGGCTCTATAGAAATAAACTGAATAGAATTGGAGATGCTGCAGTTTTTAAAGCTGTGTCTCAAATTGAGTTTGTGGTTCATTACTAAAAAAACTTAAACACTGTTTTTTTTATCTGTTTCAGGAAATGAGATAAGGAGCCCCATCAGCCCCCCCCATCCTCTGACGGCGAGGAGAAGCTCGCCGTGTTCAACAAGCTACACTTACTGCTGTGAAAGAAGAATAACTGACCTTTGCTATTAGAGTTATTTATGAGTTGGAGTTCACTCACCCTGCTTACTTTGTAAATACCTGTCTGTACTGTTCTGTTGTGAGCTCTGGATACAGGGAGAGAGACCTATATTGTATTTATGATGATCAAAAAAAACAAAACTCAAAGGATAAAAAACGTCTGTTATAATGGAAAATGTCTTCTTGAATGTGCCAACTCTTTGTCGCCATGTAAACCTTTAGGGAAAGCATTAACTACTGTTGCACAGAACAACAGAAACTAAGAAGCACAAAGTTTGTTTGCTGGTTGAGGAGAGGTGGAAAAGCCAAAAACATCCCTGAGGGATGCCCTGCGTCACGGCGTCCGTCCAGTGTCCTTCGTCTGGTTCCTCTGCAGCCTTCGCTGGCTGACTGACAGGCTTTATGAAAGTTTGATTGTACCCCCCCTCCCCCTTTATACAGCTGAGAGACTGTTTGCTGCAGTTCTGAAAAGAATTTTTCATAAACTCCTTTGAAAACAAAAAAAAATGTCTGTTCGCTGACTTTTTGTACTCTTGTTGTTTTGTAAATGTACAATAAATCTACATTTGCTGATGATAGTCTGTGTTATTCTTTGAGCCACGATGCAAAAAACATCTAGAAATAACTAACAATTTCTTAAATTAAGTGTAATTATCAGTAATTTAAGCAGATACAGTAGCAGCCATTGAAAATGGACCTTCCCAGTCAGCCGGATAGCAGCCCCCTTCCCTGCAAATCCCAGCAAAATCCCCTACAGCTTCCAGCCACTGGCCTTTCCCTGGTCATGCATATTTTTTTACTCTGACTCCACTCTTTCACTAAATTACAGGGTCTGGCCAGGAGATGATGCTTCCCTTTAGATTTTAATGTCCACAAATCATGACAGAAAGAATATTTTAGTACAAAGATTGATGTTTAAAAGGAATTGTAGGGGACCAGACAATGACCAACCAAGGACCAACCAAGGACCAACCAAAGACCAGACAAGGACCAACCAAGGACCAGACAAGGACCAACCAAGGACTAGACAAGGACCAACCAAGGACAAGACAAGGACCAGCCAAGGACTAGACAAGGACCAACCAAGGACCAGCCAAGGACCAACCAAGGACCAGACAATGACCAACCAATGACTAGACAAGGACCAACCAAGGAACAGCCAAAGACCAGACAACAACCAACCAAGGACCA